CACCACCACCACCACCACCACCACCACCACCACCACCACCACCACCACCACCACCACCAAGCCTGACATTAATAGCCAAAGCCTGTGCCTAAACCATTTGCCCCTCTCCCCTTGGGAGGAGAGGAATGGAGACAAGGGGGAAGGATTCTATCTGCAGCAGTAGACCGGGGAGAGCATCTCCTTGGACGGAGTCTGAAGAAAGGAAAAGATAAGGAAATAACAAAGGAAAAAAAGATAAAAATTAATAAAAATTTCACGATATGGAGCCAGCGTGTTCCGATTCCGTCCACAAAAATAACTCAGGCTGCTTTGCCGAACCATCCTGTCCACCAGGGGCGCTGCTGAGGCTGTCTGCCTGGAAGGGTCACCAATGGGCGCGGAAAGTCCTCACTCTCATGGCTCGGGCCATCGCTGCTGCGGGGAGGGATCCTGGCGGCCCGGTTTGGGGAGAGGCAAAGGGAGTTGGGTGAGGAGAGAAGAAGACAAAGAAGACACTCGATGCTACAGGGCGCCAGGAGAGCCCAAGCTGGCGCCCCTACTACCAACTGCCCTGTTTCCCAAGCGAGTCCAGTCACTTGGCCCAGCCCAGTGCGTGCACACACACACATGCGTGCACACACAATCACATGCGTGCATCCCAATGTCTGGCTCCATATGGTGAGGTTCGGCGTGTGTTTAAACGAGACCAACTCTCTATGTATATAATATATATTTTCTTAAAAAAACAAGTCTAGTTCTGTGGTGGAGGCGGTGGGGGAGCTGGAGGCATCCCGAAGGGCGGCATGCCCGCCACCCCCATGCCCATCATGGTGACAAAGTTAGAAGGGTCCATGGGAGGCGGAGGAGGAGGGGGTGGGGCATACATCATGCCGGCGGAACCAGGTGGCGGAGGCGGCGGAGGGGGAGGGGCCCCGGGCGGCAGAGGCGGCTGGACCCCGGGGGGCAGGGGCACCATAGTGGGGTTGCCTTGCATCTGAGGGGTTCCTGGAGAAGCTGCGGCAGCCGCCTGCTGCTGTTGCCATGGCGGGATGGACCCTGTGCCAGCGCTCGTGGTGGTAGTCGTCGTATCTGGGGTAGTAAAGAAGCCCAAGGTCACACGCGCGGGGGTACACCGCGGCTCTCTGCGGCTGCTGCCTTGGGACAGGGGGGATGAGGGGCGCCTGCTCCTTGCTTGGCATGCTGTACGGTGGTGGGGGGCGGGCGGGCGGGGCTGTCCTGGTGATGGGAGTGGAGGGGTGGGCAGGACTACCCTGGGGTCAGCCTCATGGTCTCTGGGCTTAACAAAGTAAGCCCTTTGTCACCAATGCCCCTGGAGGGGCTAAGGGGAAAGTTCCAGACACAAGTACCAGCTTTGACATCCCTCCGCCCAGCCGCCGCCACCACCGAACGGCACATTCAATCTCTAGCCCACAGCTGCTCTCTCCCCACCGGCCCCCTTCCCTTATTTCTGCAGTCTCTCAGGCCCAATCACAACCCCCTCTAGAACATGCATGCACCATCCCACTCTTGACTCCGCTCACAAAGCACGGCCAAACCAGCAGCTCATTCAGCAGCTTAGCCTGGACCTCTAGTGCTCTATCTCCATCAGCAAGCTCCCCTCCAGACCTCCCAAGTCTCTCCCAAACACAACCACACCAAACATCAGCTCTCCTTCCCAAGACATTCCTTTGGGCCAGGCAGCCTGGCTTTCAACCCCACTGCTCTTGTGAGAGACCACAGTCTCCTCACTGAAGGTGTCTCCAGCCCATGTGAACTTATGAGGTTCTTGTTCCTCTCAGCCCGAACCCACATCCCACCCACCCCCACAAGCCCAAAATATTCCACTCACTTTGCTGCCATGGCAAGGGGGTGCTGGAAGCCATACTGCTGCTGGGCGGAGGGGGTGGCGGAGGCTGCTGCTGCTGCTGCTGCCATGGAGGAAGAGGACCAGAGGGAGGAGGCGGGGGCTGCCCACTGGGAGGTGGCGGAGGCGGCGGCATCATGCCCATAGGTGGCGGCGGCATCATACCTGCAGATAATAAAAAGAAGAGGGCCCTGGGCTTTAGAGACCAGGGTCCTGGGCTAGAAGGCCCATCTGTTCCCAGCCCTAGACAGAGATCCCAAGAAAGTAGCATTACCTTTTCCTTGATGCAGGCGATAGACCCCAGAGCCCACAGGCGTACTTCCCAGGTACTGATCTTGATGGAAGGAAAGAGCAGGGACTTAGCAGGACATTTGAACTGGCCAGGCAAGACACCCCAATAGCTCTCTCAGCTTTTTGAGTCATAAGCCTTCCAAAAGTTCATGGGTCTCCCTGCACAGATCTTCCATGAACCTAGACCTTGGCAAGATTCAGAGTACTGGCTAGCCAATCAGCACTGTCTGCAGCTCAGAGCTACTTGGTGTGAACCTATTTTCCCCTCCCAAACCCCAAGGTTTCTGGTCTGACACTTACTTACCCATTGGAGGAGGGCCATGGTGCCCAGGTGGGTGGGGGCCCTGGTTCATCGGTGGTGGTGGTGGTTGCATCCAAGGTGGTGGTGGTCCATTTGGGTTATGCTGCATTGGATGTCCACCATGCCCACCTGTCAGGCTGGGTAATGGGTGTGGGAAGCTGTGGGGGCCACCTCCAGGACCACCAGGACCACCTCCATGCATGCCATGGTAGGGTCGATTCTCTGAAGGACCAGAATTCATCCAGGGTGGGCGACTCTGAGTTGTAGACATGAGAGACTACATGAGAGTATTTCCTGCCAATGTCCGTGCCTGCTCCCCCTGGTGGCAACATTGTTCTTCTGACTATGTCAGAGGACCAAGAACACATGGACAGGGTTCTCCCAAAGTGAGAGACCCCAGAGGCCAGACATCCCAGAAAAACAATGTTGCCAGCTACAATCACCTCTAAGCTTTACCCCAAACCCTTGGCCATAGCTCCCTATCTCTGCAGAAGAGAATAGGGGAGCTAGACCAGAGAACTGTCCCAGGGCTCACCGGTGGTGGTGGATTGCTGGTAGGAGCAGCAGGTCTTGGTGCACTGGCCAGGGGTGTGGTGGCAGGCCCAGAGGTGGAGCCCACAGATGCAGGGACAGGAGCTTCCCCTAGCTCTGCCATAAGGGACAAATATTCTTTATCCATCCGTGCTTTATCCTGAGCTGATTGAGGGTCACCAGGCCTAAAGTAGGGCCCGAAACACAAAGTAAGGAGAAGAAAAAACTCAACAGAGCTCTAATTCAGTCAAGTGTGACCCCCTTTACTAATCCTTTACTGGAAATAGTTACCCTATGTCCATTCTGTATCTATTTTTATCACTGCCAGGCATAGCAGAGGCCCTGAATACAGATCCCAGCGACCAACTACTGTACAAGATCCTCATCTCTCTCTCTTTTTTTTTTTTTGGTTTTTTCGAGACAGGGTTTCTCTTTGTAGCCCTGGCTGTCCTGGAACTCACTCTGTAGACCAGGCTAGCCTCGAACTCTCGAACTCAGAAATCCGCCTGCCTCTGCCTCCCAAGTGCTGGGATTAAAGGCGTGCGCCACCACCGCCCGGCCCTCATCTCTCTCTTAAAGTATTTATTTGTATGTATATGAGTACACTGTAGCTGTTTTCAGACACACCAGAAGAGGGCGTCAGACCCCCTTAAGATGGTTGTGAGCCACCATGTGGTTGCTGGGGATTGAACTTGGGTGCTTTGGAAAAGCAGTCAGTGCTCTTAACCGCTGAGCCACCTCCCCAGCCCCGATCACCATCTCTCACCATCTCGTATGCTTTATCAAATCCTAACTCTATGAGGCTGAAGAGATGGCTCATCGGTGAAGAGCACTTACTGTTCTTACAAAGAATATAGGTTCAATTCCCCGCGCCCACACGGCAGCTCACAACCATCTGCAACTCCAGATCTAGGGGACCTAAAGCCCTCTTCTAATATCCACAGAAACCAAGCATGTACACAGTACAGATATACATGTAGGCAACACTCAATGAATAAAATGATAGTATCTTCCCTGTTTGAGAGAAGAGAATTCAAACTATTAGAGAAACTGTATCCATCTCTCCCTAAAAAGGGCCTTATGGAAAAAAGACCCTAGTCTTAAACTTAAGCAGTTAAGTTTAATGCACCCAATGGAAACATTTATAGCCAGAATAAGTTTCTGGACAACACCAGGAGCCGTTACACATTTGTAGTCTTGAGTTTTAACTCACATCACTCAGATACTTCCACAAAGGATGCTGCTTGAGATGACACATGCTGCTTGAGATGAACCATGCATGAGTCAGTATAAGAAGATAGATCCTGAACACCAGTGGGCTGCTGGAGAGCCGCTTCAACAGCCAGGCCTTACCTCTGAAATTTGCAATCGGAAGCAATGTGACCAGCCCCTCCACACTTGGTACACACGGTAGTATTGGTGATGCTCCGTGTCTCTGAGCTCTGCCAGGGTCTTAAGATCCTGTTGAGGTAGAGAAATCAATTAGAACACCTGTAGAGACTACCTTCCCACTCCATAAGACTCTTCCGTTTCTATGCAATCTTCTCAGCATCATCACTAACCTATTATCGTCTTCCCTAAGAGTGCCATTCAAGCGAGCCAACTCTCGAAGCTGCATTTTCCGTAGGTCATTCTGGTCCTCTGGGGTCTCAATACCCTGCTTCAGGATGTTTCTGATCTATTAAGAGGCAGGAGCAGTTAGTTGTCAAAGTACTTGGGGCCATCACCTAGGTTTCCAGCAAGAGGCCTCCTGTCCACCCGAGCTCACCACACACCTGTTCTACTGCCTTTTTGACATTCTCCATTGTATTGGCAGTGACTAGAGCATGAAGAGGTTCATCTTCCCCTGGCAACATCTGACCATCTTTACGCCCAACTTTCCCTTCTTTCACTGATCCTTTCCCCCGTATCATGATCTTGGCGTTGCATTCCTTCTCAATGTTCTTCAGGGTGTTCCCTCTATCAAATGCAGAAAAGACTGTTTATACAACCTGTGCAAACTCCTATTTCATTTAAAATGCCTGAATAGGCATTATTGGGAAACTGCAAGCACAGGAATCCCCAACCAAGTACTCTGTTTCGAGTTCTACACTAAGGTCAGCCATTAACATCTCAGGATTTTACTTCTCCACAGAAGGTGGAGAAGATAGGGCTTTGACACAAATCAAGTTTAAGCATACATAACTCAGCCAAAACAAATGCCACATCAAATTCAACAACAAAACCTAAACACAATCAAAGCCTAAAACCCCGAAGTTTTGGGTGCCACAGACTGGTAATTACTTACCTGGGCCCAATTAGGAGCCCCACAAAATTGATTTCTGGATACTCGTCTTGGGGGATCATGACTTTATCACTCACACGTGTTGCTGGAGGCCTAAGGAAGAAAAGCTCATCACCATCAATTTCTGGAAGGTGGCACACGTAACCCAAGCTCTTTTTTAAAACTAATCAAGAAAGTATATTACTATGTAAAAATTAGGGATAATTGGCCCAAAAGGTGAGTAGTACACCAGAATTGTCCCAGCAGGTCACATATGATCTCCCTGTGCCCTTGTAATGTGTCTTCTGCTTACTTGTAATCTGCAGGTGGTTTAAAGTCTGGGTTGAGAGCAACCATCTCTGTAATGAGGGTGTGCCGCTCCTCTTCAAGCTTTTTGCGGGTACGGAACTCTCGAGTGTTAAGACGCTTCCCCTCGCTGTTGTAGATGGGCTCAGGGGAAGGGGACCTGTGGGAGACAGATCCCCATTACTGCTCTGATCCCCACTCACCGTGCTCCCACATGGACTATAACAAGTCTCCCCAGCCCCTCTGCCTCTCAGATCCTAACAACACTCTTCGGAGGAACCGACCATAACGTGTGCTATTCAAGATCGTGTGGAATGAGGAGATGGAATCTGACTTAACGTTAAGCAAACTGGGGTGCATGTGAGAAAGGGAAAAAATGCTCTTACTTCTAAGTGACCAGGGAAGTGTCTATTAAATAGAAACCTCTGGACCACAAGTGGCAAGAACAGGATCATCCTCTGGAGGCTTCTTGCCAAATGATTCTTTCATTTGAAAAAAATATGTAATAACCAACTTGATGAACCACAGAAACCCAAGTTTAGGTGAACTGTGCCTATCAGGAAGAGCATCTGTACCCCCCCTGCCACATAGTGAACACAAGCTCGTTCACCCAAAGCAGCTGAGACTCAAGCTACTGTAGCTACGTGGGTCCCACAATGGAGAGAAATGGTGCAAGGCTTCGTCTCTGCTTTTCCTTCAATGGCCTGGCTGGCTGTTCGAGGTGGGGAGTCTGAGTAGAGAAAATCGTTAAAGTGCTAACACAGCCTCTGCCAAGAGGCTGCAAATGCAGATTTGGTCAAACACTTGTCTAGGGTCTGAACCTGCCAACAGCAAGGGGGAACTACAGTTCTCCACCAGAGTTTACAAGTCCAGAAAGCAGAAATTTCTCTCTCATTTTTAAGGAGTAAAATGCTGATGTTACAAGCAAAAATTAAAAAAATATGTATATATAGTAATGATAAAATGGTCAGTTTACCACAGCTAGACTTTTGCGGTAACAAAAAAAGAGAAGTTACACTCCTAGAACTGAGTTAAGAGTACAAAAAGGACATAGGCTTGATTTGATACTCTGTATGAAAATTTAGTAGCAGCTGCAAGAAGGGAAGAGACCATGTGGATCAGGTTATTTTAAAAAACATCCTGAAAAGAGTCCCGACTCCTACACCCTTGGTTTAGTTGAGAGAACTGTGCCTAGTTGCAGAGCAAGAACTGAACTCGGCTGCTCCCACTGTCTTCAGCCTAAAGGGAACCATGTCATACCAGGTTACACACACGATGGAATAAAAGGTCAGGTTTGTTCGTGGCTAATGACGGCTAAATGACACCTCCGATTCTAGTATCTGTATGAACTGTTAGCACAATCCAGTCATAGTGAACACAAACAAATGTCCCCAACTCATTAGACTGTCATCTTACACATTTAAATCTACAACGGATTTTTAAACATTTTAACTGTGCAAGTTAAGCAATATCAAAATAGCATAAAGTGGCTTAATTTTTAAATACACCTTAAGAAATCATCTTATTAAGTTAAGAAACTCATGTATTTCCCTCCAACCTGGGCTTAAAAAGCAAAAGCAATCAGGCATTAGGGCCTCTTTCAAAATTGAGCATTTACAGGGAGGAAAAACCCTGCTCTGGTTTTACTCATTTCTAGCATATCCACCCCACTGCTATCTAGAATTGAGTGTTTCTGGCTAATTACCAAATTGTACAAGAACCAAACTGGCCTTTTAAAGGCTTCATAACCATTTAACCTCTTTCCAAACTGTGGAAGTGAAAAGCAAAAGCTAGCAATCTAGAGGTTAGACTGGCCGGACTTCTTCACCTAGAAGAGGCATCAGAGACATCAACTGCACTCTAATCCCAGTTTTCCAGGAAGCAAACAAGGTTTGTTAAAAACCCAACCTTTGGAGGAATTGCCTGGTAACCTGTAGACATATCATTAAAGGGGAAAAGGCCAAAAAGGCACTAAACAGTTGTGGTCTATAACCTATAATGTCAATCTTAAAAAAACTAAAAAATAAAAATCTTCAAATTAAAAAAGAAATATAAAATTTCCAACCAAAATCTGTATGTAAAAATATAACAAACTTGATAAGCAAAAGAAAGTCAATAATGGAGAAATCATTAAGTTCATTTGTTTCATGGTAAGGGGCAGTAGAAAGAACTGCATGTAACCAAGATAACAAAAGCCAGAAACACCTTCAAAGCAATCTTTTCAACTATGCTACATGCACTAAGATTTCAGTGGAAGCTTATTGTCTATTAAATGACCAGACTTTAGCTGTTAGATCTACGAGCCAATAAAATTCCACTTAAAATATTCCTCTCTCATATAAATTTTAACTTTTCAGAGGTGAGAGAAACTACTGAAATGGCATGACCACAGCTGTTTGAGGCCCACATTCCCTTTTAAAAAGGAAAAAGTAATAATTTAGGGGATTGGTTGCTTGCCTTCCCTTCCCAAAACCCGCAGGCAATGGCCACGGCTGAAAATTAACTGGCAATGAAGGAAGTTGGTTAGAAATCTCCTGATTTTAAAACAATCTCAAATCCATAAGCAGGTAAGACTTCAACAAGCTTTGGCCTGCTTAAATTCAGTGATGATTAAAAATACTCTCAAATCCCTGCATAACATACCCAATGAGAAAAACTACCCCCTGTGCTTTCAGCCAAAGCAGCCAGTGAAAAGGCAGGTTAACAGCCACCTCTCACTGTCCCTAGGGGTGGGCAAATTACCAGGTTAAAGTCTATATGCTTACCAATTAGAAACCAGTTATCCATTTTCTTTAACTTATTCTCCCATTAAGTTTCATTCCAACTTTTCTAACTGTTGACTGAGCATACATTCTGCTAATTAAATCCTGGTCAGAATACCAGTCGTCTTAACTAGGATTTTATTGAACTGACACAATATGTTGCCACCAGTAAAAACATATTGAGAAAAAAGGTAAAAGCGTTACTGTCAGCTGGTTAAAACTGTTTCCCAACCTGTCCTCAGGGTTAGGGGGGATGCCCAGGTCTCCTGTGCGCAGTTTACGAGTCAGGTCTTCTATCTGTAGTTGCACTGGAAGAAACCAGGTTAGGAAAGAAAAAAAGGATGGAAAAAAGACAATGTTACCAAAAAACATCTCAAATCTCAATAACAAGCATGAAGAACTCGGAGACTTTGAAAGGGACGACTGATCAGTGACACACTGAGGCAAAAACCCCCAACCACCTAGCGCAGAAGTCCATTTACATCTACAGTTAATTTCCACTTCAAAATGGTCATCACTTAAGGAAGCAAACAGTTTGTTGGAAGAGGGGTTAGCAGTTAAGACTGTTCACTACAGCTTACAATTGCAACTATCAGGAGGTATTCACCTCTCCCTTCCCCACCAATACTTGCTTACAATTGGTACCCTGAACCAACGGCATTTAAGATATCACCAGTACCTGCTTCCCACCAAACCCAGGGCAAAACTTAAGTTTCTATTTCTTTAATAAATATTAAACACAGCCCAAAATTACTCAATTAGCATGGGACAACAAAAATAGCAGTTGAGCAAAGATCATTTTCATTAAGACCAGGTTTAAAACTCTTTAAGCAAGACATTTAATAATCAATTTAACATCTTAACAGATTTGTGTGTATACTTTCTGTACAACCAGATCTGTACTAAAAAGAGGCCCCCAATACCTGCACCTTTTATTCACATATTGAACAAACCACATACCTTTCTTCATAACCCATTGGGCCTAAGCAAGGTGCTGCAAACTTTATTTTTATTTATTTTTTCCTTTTTTCAGATAGGGTCTCAAAAACATAGCCCTGGCTGTCCTGGAACACACTGTGCAGACTAGGCTGGCCTAGAATCCAGAAATCACCTGCTTCTGCCTCAATGATTACATTAAAGGTGTGCATGTCTTCACCCACCTATAAGTTTATTTTCAGACTAGCTACTGATGTCCTAGGAAGGTGCATAGATGCTAAGTGAGGGTCAAAAAGAATGTATGCAGCCCCAGGTTTAAAACAGAGATGAGGGATTCACTAAAAGCAGCCAGTAACTCAGGCAAAATATAACACAGCAGTAGGACAGCAAACCTAGAGTAGCTTCTTCAATGTGGCATTACTGCTTCTCCTGTATCTTTATCATGCTCCAGGTCTCTGAGAAGGCAGTAATGACACAGTTTACCTACAATTAGGTTTAATAGATAACTTAAATACAGAAAATTCGAATTATCTGTATTAAAGCATGTTTCATAGGACTATACATCATTTCCATGATGAAATACTGATCTTAAAAAAAAAGAATTAATAGTGAAGAGGATACTAAGGATCTCCAGACAAAGCAAGTGCACCATGGGAACACTACTGCTCCCCAAGCTACTTTACTCCAACAAGTTCTAGGAATGCAGTCAGACACTAAGCTCAGAAACTTAATGTAAAAATACCATAGGGTGGCTTCTAATTGTGGGATCTAACTTGAATAACATCCAGCACTGAAAAATAAACCAGAAAAGACTGCCGATTCCCTTGAAGTAAATAGGCATGCTAGCTTCTAACTCTGAGTCTATCTACTTCAATAAAAGATATAGTCTCTAAGGGCTTAATCCATTAACTAAGCCTCTAGAGGAAGAGAGAGAGTTGAAAAGTATTGACTGTTTCTCAGACTGTGTTCTTGGGCTGAGAGAGCACTAAGGACATTTTACAAGGCTACAAGATCCAATATTGGTCTAATGACACCTAAGGCTTAAGAGTGAACAGCAGGAAAAAGTAGTATTAGTAGTACTGTGAGAAGCAGACAATTCCAATGCCTCAAAATCCTCAGCAGTCTAAAAACCAGGAAATGAAGACCCTCCAGATTTAGACCACATCAGCCTTGAAGCCATTTGAGAAGGCCACAGCTTCATGGACCCACGCGGTTTCTGCCCCAAAGAGGATGTTTACTTGGTTAGTTGAAATGTTCATCAAGTGCACTTTTTGAGACAGCAGGACAGATATAAAACTTCCATTTATGACCTTGGATTATAAGTAATTTTTAGGTTTAACTTCAATTCTACTGTGGACAGTAACCTAATTTTTAAAATTCTGCCACCACTTCATTTCAAGTCAAACAGTAAACCCTTCCCAGCAGAGTCCTTTAGTGGTAAATTACAAGAGCCTTTGGTTTAAAGACAGCTCTCTAAAGACCAGACAAGAAAAGATACTGAAGGGAAGGATTAAATGCAACAAAATGGGTAAACTGTAAATACTTTCCAAGCCACTTTTTGCTTAAACTATTTTGTACCTATAAAAAACAAAACCACAATTTTAGGGAAAGGGAATCACGACATTATGGTGAAAAGGCCATGCTACAAAAAAGCAACTGGTTTACAATACCTGCAGTGCTCTCCACTGGGGCCTGTTCAGAGAGGCAGAGAACATTCCCCTCATCAATGAGCAAGAACAGCAGCTGACAAATGGGCTGCTGAGTTCAGGCCTACTTGCTGCTAAGAGCAGGCCCAAACAAGAAGCTACAAATGCAGGACTGGCCAAGCAAATCATGGTTTACACAGCTATGAAAGCTCATCACACCTTGTTCCCAAGACTAAAATCTCAGATTTTCAACATGTTTGTCACTCAGAATAAGCAGTAACAATCTGAAGATGCACCTGGATACAGAACGTGTATTTACCTATATAAGCTCTTTCTTGTTCCCGAGTCAGTCCAGGGGGGATAACTGTAGGCATGCCTGGAATCACTGTCTTCTGTTCCATTGTGTCTTGGTTCCATCGGCTCCTCTTCCTCTTCTTACTTGGGAAATCTAAAGACAGACACATTCCATCAGGTGGAAATATGAATCAGGAGAGTGACTACCAACAAGCAGTGCATAATAATTTAGACTAAACAGAAATCACCTAAAATTTAAAAAGGAAAGAAATCTCAGAGATCAGAGAAAACAAGCAGCCATTATAAAAGGTATGTGGTCCTCCTGTCAGGAAGTTAAGGAACAGTTCACATTTAGGTTTTTTATTCTGAAAGAACTAGAGAATGTAACAAGGAACAAGTTTTTTCTGTGGTGTTGGCAACACTAAATCTGTGCATATGCTGGGTAAGAGCTCTACCATGAAGCACTGCTCCAGTTCTTTGCGTTCTTTTGTTTGGTTGTTTGAGAAGAAAGTCCCTTTACAGAACCCTGGCTGTCGAAAACTATGTAGACCAGGCTGGCCTCAAACTCAAGAGAGATCCACCTGCCTCTGCCTCCAGAGTGCTAGTATTAAAAGCATGAGCCACCATGCCCATGCTTCCAAGTCTTAAATGCATAGAAGCCCAGAATGGAAGTGTTAAGCAGATACATATCATCAATTCTGAATGCCTTAAAGGGCAGAAAAGACAAGAAAGATGGAACGAGGCCCACAAAACATTGGAAGTCAAGCTCCAAGTGAACATAACAAATCTCCTGCTACACATTACTGTGGAAAACATCCCATCCTTCAATATGGCCATCTTCACATGTGGAAAGATCAGCAGTTTTCCTGACCAGTGAACACTTAATCAGAACTGATTTGTAAGATTCTTCCCTACATTTACCACACAAGGTTTTCTACTTCTCAGATTACAGGCCCAGAGAAAAAGCCTTTTAAAACAGCACGGGGAAAGCTGGTCACTCTGAGAACCTTCTAGAAAACAAAAGGAGACAAACAGCCTTAATAAATGATCAAACTCAAACATCACTAGTAGCCTTATGAACTCGCCTCATTGTGAAAGGAGAGATTCTTGTCACCGAACTAGCCTCCCCTTTTAGGCTTTTAGGCTCCTAAAAACCATCATGGGAGCCACTCACACCACACTGTTACGTGGACCTGACTCTCCTGTCCCCTACATCAGGAGCTCAGGGGGCAACAGGTGGCCTCTTCAAAAACTATCAGAGTTGCGCCACAAAGCCTGAACGCCTCACTGCGTCTGCGCAAAGAACGCTTCCTCCCGCCCTTCTACCCCTCATGATGCGCGTGCGCACCGAAGCCTCCCAAACCAGGCCGCGCGTTCCCTGTGGCGCGTCCGCCCGGGCCTCCCGTGCACGCGCGCGCGTCCTTGCCGCGTACAACCGCGGTGGCGTGCCCCTCCGTCGGCCGGTCAGGTCCGGTCCGGTCCGGTCCGGTCCGCCCGACGCCTCTCGCGCTCTATCGGCCCGACTCACCTCCGCCGCCACCGGGCTGGCCCGGCTGCTGGTCCTGGCGCGGAGGCGACCCTCGCTGAAAGAGCGGCGGCGCGGGGGCGGCTGCTGTGGCGGGTACGAGGCTGGGGGCGGCGGCGGCAGTACCGCCGCTAAGGACAAGGCCGTGGTTAGGGCCCCCAGCGATCCCACCGGCGGCGGCGGTCCGAGCGCCAACAGGCTCGGCTCGAAGCTGCCTTTGGGCCCAGGAAGTGGGGAAAGGCCCGGCAGGCCCAGCTTACCCAGCGGCGTGGCGTTCGCTCCGGTCGCCATGGCGCCCCAGGGGACCGACACCAGCGGTTCCTCGTCCTCCGCGGCGGCTTCTCCTTCACGAACCTTCCGGGGGTTGGGGGGAGGGGACCCGACTACGCGGCCGAAGAGCGCGGGGAGCCCGTCCTCTCACGCGGCGGGCGGCGGCGCCAGACGCACAAAGAGGGAGGAGAGAGGACGCCGCGGGGGCGGGCTGGGGCCGAGGGGCCGCGGCCTGGATTGGGCCGGCCCGAGGTGAGGTCGGAGTCAGCGGTCTCCGATTGGTGGAGCACTAGTTCTTTTCAATACGCGTCGGGATTGGCCGAACCGTTAGGCCAGGCGACGAAATGGCGGCGGGGCCGGGTGAGCTGGGAGGTGTCGTAGCGCGCACTTCTTGTTACTGCGCGGACTGAGCTCTGAGGCCAGAGTGGCGGGGGGATAGGATGGGGCAAAGTCTATGACGTGGAGCGAACGGCATGCTCATTGGCTGAAGGTGATGGAGGCACGCTCCTCGGCGATGTAGTGCCACAGGATTGGCTGGAACGACTCCCCTCCCCCAGGGACCAGCCGCTCGGGAATTGAGAAAGCTGGGAGAAGCCGGAACGAAGTCAGAGAGCTGGCGGTGCGCATGCGTAGGGAGGGCACGCGGTCTCTCCGCCCCCTACAGCAGCGGGACCCGAGCGGAAGCCCTGAGTGACGTTAGTCATTGTGCTAGAGGTACTAGGAACCGCGGGGTAGGGGCGGGCGCGAGCTGAGGAACCGGATACGTCGACGCCGCAGGTAGAGAAGAACTTCCTGTTTTCTCTGAAAAAATAGTGTTATGGAATGGCTCTAAAATAGGAGAGTTGGTGTGTGTGTTTAAAGATTTTATTTTTGCCGGGCAGTGGTGGCGCACACCTTTAAACCCAGCACTTGGGAGACAGAGGCAGGCGAATTTCTGAGTTCGAGGCCAGCCAGTCTACAGAGTTTCAGGACAGCCAGGGCTATATAGAGAAACCCTGTCTCGGAAAACAGAAAAAAAATATTTCATTTTTATTCCGGTACAAGGTAGCCCAGTAGTGGCCTGGCACCCTAGAACTTGAGAGACTGAGACAGAACAGCTGACATGAGTTTGAGGCTAGCCTGGGGTACAGTATAACTGTCTCAAAAAAGAAAAAAAAAGCCAAGTTCAATGACACATGCCTGTAATCCTAACTCTTGTAAAGGAAAAATCAGGAGCTCAAAGTCATTGTCTAGGAGAGAGGAAAAGAAGTCATTTCCAAACTTAGTCTGGGCCTTGGTGGCGCACGTCTTTAATCCCAGCACTTGGGAGGTGGATTTCTGAGTTCAGCCTGGTCTACAGAGTGGGTTCCAGGACAGCCAGAGATATACAGAGAAACCCTGTCTCAAGAAAAAAAAATCTACAAATGTGCACTTCCATTGAAATCTCAATGTGTTGGGAATTTGATTAAGTTACCTTAAAATTACATACCCACGAAAATGGTAGGGAACTTGTAAATAAAACTGAGGCCAAACATGCCTTCCCATAAAATAAACATAAGAGTAATGAAACAAAATTTTCTTGCCAGAAAAACAGATTAGCACAACATAATAGAACTGGGAATAGATAGGATTCTCACAAAGCAGGTTATTTCAACCCAGTAGGGGAAACGACATTTAATAAGTAAAGTGTACAATTTAGCAGATAAGACCACTCAGTGGCTACTCTTCCAGAGTCCCAGGTTTGATTCCTGAACCCACATAGTGACTCACAACCCTTTGTAACTTCAGCCCCAGGAAGTCAATCCAAAACCCTCTTCTGGCCTCACAGGCACTGCATGCCTGGTACACAAACTTACATGCAGACAAAAATACCCATATTCATAAGACATAAATATATCTCTTAAAATTATATAGAAAAGTCTACATGTAGAAAACAAGATTTGGGCTAATCTAGGAATTGAGAGTCTACAAAGACAAGAAACTCAAGTATGGTGGATGGTACAAGTCAACAGACTATGTCAAATTAGGGAGGAAATGGCCATACAACAGAGAAAGAGCAAGTGTCTGGGCTGAAAACACAGCTCAGTGGTAGAGCTCTTGCCTAGCACATACAGCTCCCAGATTCCATCTGCAGACCTGTAAAGGTAGAAGAAAACCCAACTGTAGCAGCCAAAGACGCCTTTAAAACTAAATAGAGGAAAGACTGGAGAGACAGGAGTGCTGCATACTCTTCCCAAGAGCCTGCTACCTACCCTACATATCAACTAACAACCATCTCTGTTCTGTTCCAGGGGATCTTGACTCCCCCTTCTGGACACCCCAAGCACTGCTCTCACAGATGGTGCAAAAACATACACACAAAAATAATCTCTAAAGATTTAAAAAAAAAAAAAAAAAAGCACAGTAGTAGAATACTGGTTTAGTATGGCCAGGGACCTGGGTTTGATCCCAAATGCTGAAAACAACCATTATGTAGCTGCCCATGGTAGGCTGTGGTGGTTTGAATGAGAATGGGCCCTTAGACTTACTTGAATGCTTAGCCTCAGTTGGCAGATCTGTTGTGGAAGGATTAGGAGACATGGTCTTGTTAGAGACGTGTCACTGGGGATAATGTCAAAAGTCCACACCAGGTCTAGTCTTTGTCCCTCTGTGTCTCCCTCTCTCTGCCTCTCTGCCTTTTACTTGCTGATTCAGTACAAATTCTCAGCTACTGCTTCCTGCTGCCATGCTCCCCACCATGGTGGTCATGGACTCGACTCATCCTCTGAACTGTAAGCAATAAGCTGTCTCATCTGTAACTTTCTCTGGTCATAGTGTCTCTTCACAGCAATAGAAAACTAAGTGGTGGTGGAGGCATAGCATGGCAACCTTTGGAACCCTGATCAATCATGGCACTGGCAATGCCAAGGGGCATTCAGGCCATGGTCTACAGCCTGTATACCACCATGGCTTCCTGCCCATCCAGGGATAGTGCTGCACACCAGACCCACTGTGCTTCGGGATGAGTGTGGTGGGTGCTCTGGAAAATGTGAAGGCTGCCAATGAACTCTCCTCTGTCAGGAGAGGTAACTGAAGTTAATGAAACACTTGCAGAAAACCTGGGGCTTGTCAACAAATCCGTGAAGGGAGCTGGGTGATGAGCATGACACTGTGTGACTGTTCAGAGCTGGGTGAACTGAGTGAAGAAGCATATCAGAAATGCATGAAGTCGCCGGGCGGTGGTGGCACACGCCTTTAATCCTAGCACTTGGGAGGCAGAGGCAGGCGGATCTCTGAGTTCGAGAGTTCAAGGCTAGCCTGGTCTACAGAGTGAGTTCCAGGACAGCCAAGGCTACACAGAGAGACCCTGTCTCGAAAAACCAAACCAAAAAAAAAAAAAAATGCATGAAGTCAACTGAAGAGTGAACACGGCACCCACATACCCCAGATCAGTGGGAAGTGACCTGACCTAACATGCTTGTCATAAATTAGTAGAGGATGGAAGACAACTTTTAGCAGTGCTGATGGAAAAGAAACCATTCTTGACAGTGCTGCCTAAGAAGAAAACCCAGCTTGCTAATGGGAGCAGACAAGCACTGTGTACATACGTTCATATACCCTAGATACACATTTAGACTTACAGATTTAGTTACAGTCTTTAGAATTCATGAGGTCATTTATGGGAAAAGTAACTATAAAGCTGGATTTGATGGCAAACCACTCTTTTTTTTTTTAAGATTTATTTATTTTATGTATGTGAGTACACTGTAGCTGTCTTCAGACACACCAGAAGAGGGCATCAGATACTGTTACAGATGGTTGTGAGCAACCATGTGGTTGCTGGGAATTGAACTCAGAACCTCTGGAAGAGCAGTCAGTGCTTTTAACTGCTGAGCCATCTCACCAGCCTCGACAAACCACTCTTAATTCCAGCACTCCACAGGCAGAATTCAAGGCCAGCCCGGTCTATGTAACAAGTTCCAGGCCAGCAAGAGTTACATGATGAGACCCTACCTAGTGATTATAAGAATTCCATAATTCAGGGCAACAGTGTTGTAAGTTTTGCATAATTTTCTAATCCACCCATATCTATCCCTGGGTTTATGTCAAGAGACGTAATGTACCTTCTCATTGGAAACAGTGTCAGATGAAGGACAGTGTTTTACTGTGCACTGCAGTGACCGCTGCTGAGTTTACAGTGAGGCACCAACTTTGCAGCACATTGAGAAATGAAACAATCATCCTGCCAAGTGAGGCGTGGCTTTGGTAGGGACAGAATGACATGGTTCCTGCACCCGGGGACAGAGCCAGCAGGTGTGGGCCTCTACCTGTGGATGGCTGTTGTGGGCTTAAGGCTTGTTTGTATAATAATGAATATATTTTCACATTCCTCTGAAGAATGTCCTCCCTGTTAACGTTAATGACTCCATGATAATTAGAGGCAGCATGAGTCTGGGAGAAGAT